CATGTAGGAAGTGATATCTCATCACACAATCTCGTTGTTTGTCTAAAATTCTTGATACTATCTATCTGATTCCTAAGGTGCATAACAAGTCTGGGCACTACTTTCTGGATGATATTAAATGTGGTCGCCCCTACTATTAATAACCTGCGGATACTCGTAATGCAGTGTATTACTCATGTTTGGAGTCTCCAATTCGCATCGAGAATTTTTAAGTTGCTGCTCCACCCGGCACCGGCTACTGCAACATCCGAGATCTGGACCTCGTGTCTATTCTGTTGCATTCATTGTATTGTTCATTATGAGGCATTACCATTGTTGTGCGCCGTTATCATAATATAATTTTCAATTTATACACTAATTGCTGAAAAGAAGTGATTGTGAACCTGTCAGGGTGACTCGTTGTTGTACCTGTGCCTGCATTTGTTCCGGTATTGTTGGCCGCCAAACAAACCGATCATTGGCTACGCGTCCAGACAAGCAGAAAATTAGAACGGGAAGGAAAATAAGGGAAAAGAAAAAGGAACGGGGGTTTAAAAAAAAAAGGGAAAACAAGGAACAGGAATTAAATCTCCTCAACTGGCTGCTTGATCTTTTCTGTTTTTTTCCTTTTCAATTTTTTATCTTTTTCAATTTTTTTTTTTCTTCGCTGGGCCTTACCCAATTCGAGGTCCCTGTCCCCTCCACTTTGCAGCCCCTCTCCTCCTCCCACTCAATCAATCAATCATCGGCCCTTCCCCAATCACTCTCTCACTCTCACTCCCTCTTTATTACTATCACTTACTTAGTACTACCACTAACTGCTCTTCCGGCATCCTTCCCTTCCACCTCTTCCTTGAACATCCACCTTCCGAGAGATGGGCTTTTCCTGATAAGGGCAGTGTGCTGACCATTCAGCATTTCCCTCCGTTCATTCATCCTTCCCCCCCGGATTCTTCTCTCAATCATCCTCAATTCCCACCCTTCCGCCTAGACGGTTATCGTTCGATTTTCGCCCATTCTAGAACGATGAACGTCGATGAAGATCGCCAGCTGGATCTGTGAATAATACTTTAGACTCGCGCGTGCGATGGACGCTAGAAATTCCCACCACTATCAGCCAACGGCGCGCTCTTTGGCCACCGACCACGAGCACGTCTTGCCTGTGCTGAGCAAACCAGCTGCTTGGGCCTCTCCCACTACTGCTGTCCATCCAGTCACGATTAATAATAATACCTATCAACATCCTCATCATCCCTACTCTTATCCGATCTCGACATCCAGCCAACCGCTTGCTTATGGCCCTGTTCCGCCGCCGCCCCAGCAATCAATACCTCCGGCCCCCGTCCATGCCGACGCGCAGACCTTCACCACTGAATCTACCCGGCAGGATGTAAACAGGAATGGTGTCACGAAACCCCGCAAATCGCGGAAGTCCAACAATGCCGCCGCGGGGAAATCGACATTGTTCTGGGTGCATACCGATCCACAGTCCGTGTCCGAAGGTACCAGGGAGGAGACACTCAAGCGCATTCGTTCCCATGTCATGTCCGAGCACAACCGCAAGAAACGGCTAGAAAACACGAAACGCTACAAGAGCAAAACCTGGAAACATCTTGCCTTTCAGCCGGTGGAAACTACAGCCTCCAGTTCGTCAGCTGCAGCTCCGTCTTCTTCGGCCCCTTCTGCCGGATCCTTCCCGAAACCAAGTGTCACCGAATCCTCTTCCTTCGGCACACGGATCGTCTCTGATTCTCCCTCCTCTTCTCCATCATCATCCTCTGGTTCATCGTCGCCCGAACAGCGACAGAAGGAAGTACCGCAGCAAGAGCTGGTGGTCACCGACGCGGGCAGTTATCCATCTGTTTCTGCCGAGACAGTGGACAACTACAGCGTCGGCACTCCTTCGCAGAATGCTCTCGCACCCGTGCAGTCCGCAACTCCGTGGGCTTATCTGGGCGGTGCTACCGACCCGTTCAATTCAATGCATACGGTCATGTCGGACCGTATGTGTCGACATCTTCAGCACTGTAGGTTGACTTGCAACAGACTTTGAAAGACGTAGTTCTAACGATCTTCTGCAGTCTTCGACCTGACTCAGCAGGCCTATCCTTTGCAGCGCCGGTATGGACCTAAGTTACGGGATCACTGGACCGCATTGGTTCAACAAGATCCGGTATCATTGCATGCTTGTATATGTGTAGCCGCATCGAATTCCGCCTTGGCAGCAGGGGAGCTCCCGCTGACAGACCCCAACAAGCGGCGTTCTAGCGTGCTACTTCTGGACACGTTCCACCATCGGGGTGAGACGATTAAACTAGTTAACGAGGGATTATCGGATCCGATCAAGGCCTCCAGTGACCAGCTGATTGCCGCCGTGTCAATCCTTTTGACTATTGAGGTTAGTACTGCTGAACCATTATGTAAGAGGTTAGCTAACTGGTCAGATTGCATCTGGCAATGCCGACTATCTCAAAATCCATCTGGCCGGTCTCCGACAGATGGTAGGCATGAGGAAAACCTTCGCGGATGTACCGCCCGACGTTCGATTCCAGATATCATGGTCAGTTTAACCCAAGCTTTGGTGGAGTCTGTGGGCCGGGACTGACTCGAGTAGGACTGACATCCGTGTGGCGTGCATGGCCGGCACCAAGCCCATATTCCCTTTTATTCGTTACGCCCGTCCCTCGCAATTGGCGCTTATGCCTCCTAATGAAGATCTACTAATTTTAGCTACGCGTTTGACACAATTAATTGAGATACCCGGCATCTTTGGGGATGCCATGTCCAAGATGATATATGACCTGGCCGCATTGACGTGGTACTGCGAATGGATCAAGAGCACAACGCAATACCAAGACTTTGACGACGAGACGGAGGACTACTTCAACACCGAAGTCCTGTACGTCGAATACTCCCTCCATGAGGACCGGTACACGGCGACAGGTGAAATCAAGATGGAAGCCACCATCGAAGGCTGCGTTCGGCTGGCATGCCTGGTGTTCCATAACACCGTCATTTGGGGCTTCTACCCGCACATCGCGCCGGTGTTCCCCAAACCGGTGACTGCGCTTCGTTTTGCGCTGGAAAGCACGATGAGTGCTGGATACTTTGAACTGTGCCGGGATGTGCTGATCTGGATCCTGTTCATCGGGGCGTGCAGTTCGCGGCTGCTACCGGAGCGGACCTTTTTCGTGAACGAGCTTGTTTCGGTACTTCGAGAAGACGGAAGCATCCACTCGTGGCAGGACCTCCGAGCCCTACTTCTAGGCTTTTTCTATGCGGACCGGAGTTACCTGACTCCGCTACGAGAACTATGGGAAGAGATTGAGATGAAGCTCCGCGCACCGCACGAATGTATATAGACCCGACATAAGACTCATACATAGGACTGATCGCATGTTTCATGTGGCATGTATGATATATTAATGAGATATGGTATATATGACAAAGCTGCCGCAATCGTTACAATTCCCACAATTCTACTACTTATCCACACATGATCCTCTCGATCATGAAGACAGGATGATCAACCAATCAGTCATAATCCGAAATATCACACCATCCGGGATCCCGACTTAACCAAGCCCGAAAACAGGACAGTAAGCCCCAAAACCAAGCCTTGTACAAAAAATCCCTCACCCATACCAATTGAACAAACAGTCGCCTCCCAATAACACAATCCCAACCACCCACACCCTCTCCCACACCAACAAACGATGAAACAAAAAAAAAAACAACCACAAAAAATAATTATGATTAAAGAAAAGCTATGAAAAAGAAAGAATCCACTTACACGAACACATTCAAAAAGTCCACATTGGCAGAACCCAGCCAACAGCAGCGGATTGGACAATCGATCTCGGGATCAATCAACTAAGTATGAACTAACTAGTGTCCGTAAGTAGTGAGGTTATTTTTTTTCTGACATTTCCGAGAAATTTCCGTCCGAGCGAATCCCGCCCGATTGCCGAGTCTCTGCCGCTGCCGCTGCCGGTCGGTCGGTGTGAAGAGAGATAAATACTTACGTCGGTCTCTTCGTTTCACTGCTAGCTACTGTAGCCTTGCGCGCTTATTATTTTTCTCATCTCTTTCTTTCTCTTTCGTCCCTGCTTGTTTCTTTTGTATAATTTCAGCTATAATCTATACAGCCTGGTTCCATAGCAGGGCAGATTGGGTGTGGTTACTGATACGACTACTATTGCTATACTACATGTCTATACACTAACAAAGTATATTTACACAAAGAAAAGCGAACAGAACTACTAATTGACAGCTTGGAAACGGCCCGCCGACTTACCTTCCAAAATTACTTGATTGATTGTTTGACTCCTATTCTTGGTTTCAACTTGTGCGACGTCGGAGAGTTCGCAACGTTGACAAAGTGTCAAGCGACCGGGATATTATTTCTTTGTTCCGTGCGGTCGGGGATTACTTACTACTACTACTGACTATTGAAGCTTTTCTTCGAAGGTTTGAAGAGTGAGTTGCATTGCATTGTGTTGCGTTGCGTGCAGGTTATAGTTTCTTGCTTTCTTTTTTATACTTCTTTTCTTTTCTTGTTTATGCTTTCTCTGTTTGTGTTGGGGTATATAAGGTCTAGCAGGACTGCTGCGCAGGACTTGGGGATGGATGGATGTCTTTGACAAAGGAATGAGGTAGGTGTTTAACAGCATTTACTTCAGGTCAAGCTGACATAAATCATGTATTCATTCAAGGTTAATCATTTCATTAACAAAAACTAAACATCCAAAACCAACGCGTCCCCTGCCCGTCGCACTCGACAACGGACTGCTCCATCATTATTACCCAGGTTCCGATAATATATATCCCAAAGGAAACGAACACAATAAACAAAACACTGCTCTGGATTGTTTGGACCCGCTGCAGAGGGCTTGCACGTCTTCACAAGACCCTCGAGTGGTCTACAACCTGGACCATTCCCCGCGCAGCAATGGCCTTACTAGAATGGGTATCTGAAACATAACAACTGCAGGTGTATTACTCTTTCTTTCAAAAGGCTCCTTTCAACGCGACCATGTCGATGGCCTGAACCCACGCGACTGACTTAGACAGTCTCACGGGGGGTCTTAGCACGGCTACGAGCAGTGGGAGACCAGGGGAAGTGAGCAACAGGGATGATGAAGAAGCTGTTGCTGCTGTCGGCAATACCGGCCAAGGCGTTGTACCAAGCGGCGAATGCAGCCAGGAGACCGAAGAAACCACCTGCCTTAATGACGGGGGTGTTGGGCTCGCCAGCCGAGTTCCGCTGCAGGTAACCAACACCAAGCAGCAAGAAGGTCAGGTCCAGGAACAGGAAGAGGCAGAAGAAGGCGACAGTGGATCTCAGAGTGCAGAACAGCAGGACGGTGGTGAAGATGAACCAGCCCTAAGGAGGATTGTTAGCGCGACGCTCATTCTTCCAGCCATTGAGCAAGCTTACCAGCAGGTACAGTCCCATCGAGTTGTAAAACATGGTGGCGCCACCGGCGGATTCAATCGACGACTCGATCTCGAACCCACCGGGGGTCAAGATAATGGCGAAAGAGATCCAGAAACCTCCGTAGGAGGACAGAGCAGTGGCACCGAAGGTGTTTCCGACAGCCATTTCCCTATCAATAACGATCAGCATTTCATTTCGAGGGTGTGGCAACAGGGAGTACCTACCACATGCCAGCAAGCAACTGAACGAGACCACCATATCCGAAAGCCAGACCAACGACGATGTTGTTCGCAGAGATACCACGGGTTCCCATGTTGATCAAACTCAGGATGAAAGTGGTGAGGGCGAAAGCGCAGAGACCCAGAGGCGCCGGGTTGGCGAACTTGCGCTGCTCGACCGACTTGTACAGACCAGGCTGAAATTCACCTCCGAAGGGGCGCAGGTTGGCCTCCTTGGTGTTGACGTGAGCCATGGGTCCATAGCCAAAACGCGCAGCAGCTCTGGCGGTCTCCTCAGCGGTCAACTCGTGGGTCAAGGGAGCACTGCCGTTGCTGCCATTCTCGAGCTCAGGAGCCATGTCCTTCTCAATAGGGTGTTCAGCAGACATGATGATTATAGGGTGGAGATAATCCGATCAAGGATCAAAAGGTATAGGAGGGAGATTGATTATAATGGTTTAAGATCAAAGAGCAATCCAGCTAGCTGGACGGTGGAGGGAGATGAATATATATGAAACCACGGAGAGGGGAAGAGGAGGAGTTCAAAAAGAAAAATGATGCGCACAGCTCTGCTGGCCGGATCAGCAAGGTATCTTGACGACGACTGGGACCGTGCAAGATGTAAGAGGAATAAATAGAAGCAATGAGGAGAGAGGACAAGGGAGAAGAGGGGAAAAGGCGGCGGTCAAATAAGAAATAGGAAGTGGCCCGGCCTGACAGTGCTTCTCGCTGGGATTAACGGACTTTGGGATGAGACCCAACCCGGACGAGCGAAGGTTGCAGGGAGCCAGCAATTCTACCGGATTTGGGAGGAAGGACCGTTAGTTGAGTTTAGCCTGGGATTTTAGTTGGTTTGGTAAGTTCTCCTCTTTTTTTTTTATTCTATTTTATTTTATTTTGATGCTCCATTTTATTTTATTTCATTTTCATTCGACATTTTCTCCATGGGATCCGTTGGTTAGCGTTGATCTGAGCAAAATTTGGGAAATTTTTCTTTTTTTCCCTCCTCCCCTCACCCCATCTGTCTTTTTTGGGGGCATAATCTAGGCTGTTATTATATCATATTATTATTTTTATTATTACGGTGTCACCATGATTTTTATTACTTTATCATGCTTTGTCGGCGATGCGCAGGAGTGGAGCGGCCGAATTTAGCGTTGGCTTTTAAAAAGATGTGCAGGAATCCACCTGACGGGCCACTCCCGTGTGTGTGAATGTCCCTAATTGACGACTAGAAGTCAGGCTAACACAATGGGTCTCGCTGGCGAGAACTTGGACGCCGTTCACCATCACCAGAGACACAGACAAGAGGGAGGCGCCGATCCTCCATCATTCTGCGGTATTCTCTCCATTCGTCCATGAACATCCCATTGGAGGCATGGGGGATTAGACTTTCCGCAAACCATGGGCAAGCGGGGGAGAAGAAGGGCTTTGCCATCGTCTTAGAGGGTTGTTTGATTACCTAGGTTAAAGGGCTGGAGGGAATAACCCCATAGGGCCCCAAAATGCAGGGTGGAAGGAACATGGCTCCATTCGTCCAGCAAGGGCTGCAGACTCAACACGCGGACAACCTCTCAGATGGCAAATCCTTCGTGTGTGTGTGTCTCTCTCTCTCTTCCTCTAGTCGACGACCGGGTATCGCCTAAGAACGATTGACTTTCCAAGCCCGGGGAAAGCAAGGGCAGGTGGAGATTAAAGGCGCCCGAGGTCTGGGGAAAGAGCCAATTAGCGTAGTAAGAAGCTGCCACTGGAGACTCGACCTCCGAGGCGTGCGTTGTTATTGGTGTAATCCATCAGATGTCTTCGGCCGTAGTGCTGCCTTAGTCAGTAATACGGTAATATGGATGTATCTCTCTTGCTGAGCTGGAGTGGTCACGGGTGTGTTGTGTATCGCTCCAACTGACTGCTAACTTAGCAGTATTTGTTTTCTCACCAGTTGCAATAATAAGCACTGTGTACATTCCAGGTCTCATGCCATATGGTCTGGATTATTCTACAATCCTTGTATATTTATGTATATCATTTATGGGGCTCTATAGATTATGATTGCCATCTCGTATGATGTGGCCCTTTTCTTTCTTTCTTTCTTTCTCTTCGGTTACCAGCCACCCTCGCTACTACTAGTAGTTCTGTAGTAAGTCCCTCGTAGTCCATCGACTAATCGATCGCCAAACGGTGCGGCTGTTCCCTCCTCCAAAAGGGTACGGGTAAATTAATTACATACGAACATCAGTCTCCAACCGGATCATCCGCGGAAGCTGTGCTGTCACTTCCATTACTGGATGTCACCCCAAGCGGGCAGTAAGTACTTAGTAAGTAACTGAGGCAGTAATGTGACTCTCATGGGAATTTCTCATTTTTGAATCCCATCCGTCCGTCACCCAGAGTAACGGCGGTGACGGTATGTCTCGTGTCTATCGTTGGATCTGTTGCAAGGGAAGAGAAAGAAAAAAAAATGTTCATTCATCCGACAACATCAACCCCAGCAGTTCCCTTCCCATTCCGTCCGATCTAAAATGCACTGCACGATGGCCAAGTAGCATCTAACCCGAAAAGCTGAGCCCACGCCTCCATTGCCGCAAGGAGGTGTGACCCGACCGAAGATGACCCAGTTCTGGTCCCATACAAGCTAAGGGTTAGTCTACTTTTAGTTGGACGCTGTGGCTCATTGGAGAAGTCCTAGCTGGGTGACTGGTGGAGAGTAGTAATACACAGTAAGTAGTAGTTTAGTAGTACAGTTGCTTTGGCAGGTGCGGTGATTGCGGGCCCTTACCTCTCGCATCACTTCTACTACTGCTAAGTTAATCCTGCGCCGGGGCCTGTGCCTAACTGAGCTTTAGTAGTTCTGTTAGCTGACCCGGCTGCGACCGTACCTGCTTTTTTGCTTACTTACTGCTTGCTTGCTGAGCAATCACTTAATGATCCCAGGTGTGGGTAGGGGGGAAAACGGGACCGGGCCCGAAATCTGAAGCTTTCCGAGTCTCAAACCGAAGGGTCATACCGTTCTCTCCAAGCGCCCTTAATACATTGACTAGATGCAGTGTGAGATGCAGGCAACGCGGCTGTGTGGGTTCTACTCAATATGCTTAATCTTCCTTTTGAGATTGCTTATGAGGGAATTATTTTTTTTCTGCAGGATATCTATCTAATATCTGACTCTCTATCATAGGTATCCTGACTCAATTGTACGGAGCAGCCGGTTCGTTTTCAGTGGAAACTACGGAGAACCTTCTCTCCGTTGATCGCCGTGACGTTGAGCATAATTCCGGTACATGCGACATTATCAGCCATTGTCCGCGCAACCAGAAGGGAAAAAAATGGAAAAAGTAAAAAATAAAAGTACGATGTTGCCATCGACAGGATCAGCATTCAACCTAGAGAGCAGCTATCTTCATGCTACATCAGACTAGATACTGCTAGACACGAGACGAACACTTCCATCTGGGTCGACCCCCATCGGCTCCAGATGGGTAGATTCCCCGTGTGCGGCGGCGGTGGCGGATGCCACCCGACAGACAGACAGACAGAACCAACGATTCTGGATCCAGTAAATATCTATAAGAGAGGTTTGGGGATAGACTCCGTTCTCGGTCTGTTTCGTCGCGGCACAAAGGGACGCATCCCCACTTGGAGCGCCTCTTGGCGACCGTTCTGCCGCGTCGCCGATTTTCTCTCTCACTCACTCTCTCTTTTCTTTGCCTGTTCGTGTCAAGCTCAAACTCGGAACGTCGCCAGCCGCGTCTCCGAGTTGGCTCCCTGAAGCAGCTACCAGTTCCTCCCCCCTATTCTCTTCCTCCCCTCCTGCCTGCTCTCCCGTCCACAGCCTCAATTGATGGCGTACGAACAAGCTCAAATTGGCCCGGGACCCAGTCTCCCACTGCTCATCGTCATTTAAAATGAACCCCCCTTTGACACTTTTGACACTGACAGGAGGGTAATCCCTGAGCAAATGTCCGTTAAGCTAGTCAGATTGTAAATTAAACATTCGATAGTTAATCAGTCGGGTCTTTTGAAGGTGGAAAAGCAAAGCTGTCAAAAAGTAATGAACCTCGAGCTTATCATGACAGCTATACCAACAATAATACTCCGTATACTACTCAGTAATCATTTTAGCCAAAGAGCTGCTTTCACTTTAGCCATTACTAGTTTCGCACAATACTTGCTTTTTCATTTATTTATTTCCGTTATATTTTATTTCCCTGTCCCTTTCCCTATTCTGTACGTACGTACCTCGGCAGCCACGGAGTTCGGGTCGGTAAGTAAGCCGTCAAAAAATTTCTCTCTTGTTCTCTGCTATCCCTACTACCATCCTTACTAGCTAAGCTAGCTAGCCTAGCAAGCCAGCATGCCAGGTACGACGCACACAAAACCTTCTTCCCTCTTCCTGCAGGGTTTTCTTCAAAATGCGAGCGAGCGAGCGGCGTTTCTCCAGCAACAGACGAAGCCAATTGCTTCTAGAGCGATTAGTCTAGTTTGCATCCCATTCCTTCCTAAGACTTCCTCGTCTCCGACCGGGAAGCTTGTTCCTAGCGAAGACGACGACGCTGCTGCCGGCAAATGCTCTGCAGGGCGAGACCAGTATGCAGGTCGCTGCACGAAGACGGAGCCACACCAAACCAACCAACCTAGTAACACGCCGTAGTAATCCGTATCTACTTACTAGTCTAGATAGATACAAGTTCAGTCCAGTCCAATTCAATCCTCGTATGACTCCCTCCCTCCCTCACTGGACTACTCAAAACCTGCGCTGCGCGCTTTGGCTCCGCTCTAGATCGTGGTCCGGTCATGGCACTAAATCCTGCAGCCAAGAAATGAACTTTCAACGAATCATTTCATCATCCTGCAATCCCTGTCCCAACAAATAAATTATCCACCTATCTGAAGTTTGCGAGAAAAAAAAAAAAATAGGAAGATTTTTTCTTTGCGAAAAAGCTCGGTCGCGGTTCGTTCAGTTCAGTTCAGTTCAGTTCAGCTTGTGCGGCGGGGCCCAAGACTTTTTTTTTTTTTTTCTACTGATGGCGCCACTTGTAGATACTAAATAGATGGATGGATATGGACTCGCCTGAGAGAATAAGTAGTAGTAGAGAAGAGAAGCGATGATGGTGTGGACAGTGGAACACACCCATCTTCAGCCTACGGGATCCCGGGCCGGCAATTACTCCATCTCACTAAATGCAAAAAGCCTACTCCGTGCGGTGTACCCACGATGGGATGGAATGGAAGATGGCTTCATATGCCTGCTTAACAGTGGATAAGTAGTTAGTTAGCTAGTTAACTTACATCCATCCATCTCCATAGTCAAAAATGATATCTGCCTAAGCTTAGTAGTAAGGCAATTTGCACGTGCACGAATCCATCATCTCTTTGTCTTGTCTTGTCTTGGCTAGGCTACTTATTATATGATATTACGCAGTAGTCCCCATTTATATTATTATTTATTATATTACAATATATTATTATTATTGTTATTATCATCACACACACACACACCTTCAATTAATACGTACTAGTAGTAGTTATTGGGTCTAGGCAGAATTAGGCGTGAGAAGCAATTTACCAGTGTCGGGATGTGTCTCACACTCTTAGTAGGATGGATGTCTGTGTGTGTGAGTGATTTAGTGCTTACCATGTTCATTTAACGGAGGGAGTACGGAGTACACTAATGTAGGTAATCTATCTGCTGGTCCAGGTTGTGGTTTTATGGGAACCCTTAATGGGAGGATAGTAGGGTGTTATTTGCCGGAGATGAGTTTGGGTTGGTTTGTTGTTTGTGGGAAATTAATACATCAGTTGGGTTATACTACGTAGTTAGTCGGAGGAAGAAGCACACGTAAAGCTTAGACCATCATGTCGGAATAGGCCGCAGTATTATTTCTTTCCGTCTTGAGCATGTTGGAGGGATGATATCTTTTCTTTTCTTTTTTCTACTTATTTTCATGGCTATTTGTGATCAGGTTGAATACATACGAGGAAATGTGTGATTGTCATGGTAAACCCTGTTCGTACAGAGTAGATCGTGAAGATCCCATCTGACCGATTTCATCAATTCAATTCTATATTTTCTAAGTAATAGTAGTACTATTGTAAATGCTATTCTAGGTTTATCATGCCTTGTAGGGATTCAAAGTTTGATCGGGTTCTATCTACTATCTACTATTTAGTACGGTAGTACTATTGATTATCTTGAGTTTGAAAAAGGTTTTTGTAGTATGATGTAACTCCATCGGGCAAGTGAAGAAAAAAAAGATAAATATATTTCCAGTTGGTATATGTCCGTGTGACGGAAGATTTTTCCAATCTATTGAATGTTAATTTTCGGTCTATTTCTTTTCTTTTTTCTTATCACATGTGTGACTTGCACTCTGGTGTTTTGTTTAGATTCTATTAATGGGATTTATTATGCAGCTTGTGTATGTATCTTGCATCCTACTTACCCCTCATGGATATGAACATCATGTTTTGTGATGTGTGAGCAGAGATGAGGGGAATAATCCTGCATACACTGGCACTCGGAGAAGTACTATTTCTCCGCATGGTACACAGAATAAGCACACAAAATGGGTGGGAGAATATGTACCATGTACATGTGCACACCCACGTGGTGCATTACTTAGCTCTATTGCTTAATCCCGGGAGTATCTGCTTGGTTGCCTATCTGCTGGTTCTGCGGGGGAATTGCAGGATCCTGGTGCGTTAGTGGTCCACGTCACTGTGTTCCAAATTTGGACTCGTAGATGCAGCGGAGGAGTTGCTTTTGCTTGAGACGTATGCTTTGGTAGGCATTTCCTCTTTTCTTTTTCGGTTACGGTTCAAGGGATATCCCTGTGTGCAGACATGCTACTTTGGGAAGGACATCCACTCACTGCATCTTGGTACGGGTCACACACTTGAAATGAGTATGACCCTGTCGACGATCAACTGTCTGGGCAAAGGATCTGACTATTGATGATGGGCAATGGGCACGGTCGTGGATCGTGATTGCATGTATGTTGGGGTAGACAGCCTGCACAAGGTCACGGGATGATGAGAAGTGAGGGGGATCGACGGCTTATCGGAGGGAGGGGATTTTGAATCTGATATTGCTGATCGAGCTGACACGATGCTCTCTAACGCTGCCGACGCCTAATTTCGCTAGTTACGGGTGATCTCACGGATTCAGAGAATGACACATCGGGCACAGCTTCTGAGACTTGCTAGTAGAGCAGCACTTGCAAGGTCAAACCGTGGATGATGTTCCTTGCGTCCGGACCGCCCTTGTTTGTTGTCTGGTCGGTTCCACATCCACGCTGCTGGTACCGAGACCCTGGAAATTGGGCTGTGGATGGCCATCATCCTTGGGTTCTTCTTGGGGTCTGGGGATTTCCCGTTCCCCGCGGCCATCCGTAGAGGTGGCTTGGTATAGATCCTGCCTGGGCAAATGACAAATGATGAGACGTGTTGCTCTATACCCTCGGCTCGGCGGAGCGGAGAAACAAACCAAAGTCTTACGTTCAAGTTCGAATAAATCTGGAGCTCTCCTTCCAAGAAGCTATGCGCCACATTTGGAAGGACTCGTATTAGGGTCCACTGTAGCTTGGAGGATATTCCACTTTCTCATATTCTTCTTGCTTTTTTCGTCGAAGGTCTCTCTTTGTCCTTCTTAAGCCTGGTCCCCGCCTGCGGAGATGCGGTAACTTGAATTCTCGGATATGACTGGCTGGGAGACGGTTCCAGAAGTCCCGGCACTGCTTCTGATAGTACACTTGCCGTATTGCTCGCTCTAGGTTTAGAACCCACTCGATATTGAACAATGATGCAATTTTTGTGTGTGCGTTTTTCTGCTCTTCTTCCACCTTCGTTATCTCTGCTACGCCCATTTTTGAGTTACAGCTGGTGGAGTAGGTCCTGGACAATGGCCATTGTATCGAGGTTGGGGAAAGTAGGCGGCTGGAGCAGGAAACCGGGTTTGTCCGTGGCCAGATTGAGCCGGTCCACATTGAGTAGAATCTTCGAATCTGAAGCGAAAGTAGAATTCAGTCCAAATGCTCACGGCTCCATAGTTCATGCAACAAAGCAAAAACAGCAAGTAATCTTCACTTACTAGTCAGTAGATGGCTAGATGGGTTGCTAGAATCCCGTGCCGTCTAAGCACGACGCCTTGTAGATCTTTGTCTTTCACCCACGCGCCTTCGGGCTATCTTAGCCCCATCACAACATGCCAACCAGGTGGCAAGCTAACATAGTCACAATTCGTTCAAAGTCAATCACAGCCGGCGTATGTGACGATCTTTGGTGGGATGATGGTTGGATCGAGTGATGGTGTTTGTTGATGTGGGGAGGAAGATCTACAGAAGAAGCGGTCTGGCATCCTCCCGGTTTCCTCGCCAGCAGAGGCAGCGCCATCACCAAATTGGCGTCAATGACTATCGAGGGTCCAAGTGGAATCCAGTGGATTCCTCGGCTCTATCCTTCGATAGTAGGAAAGCGGCGGGGTGTTGAGAAGTCTTCGAGACGAACTGTCGTTCTTCACGCGCTTCACCGACTCGATAGTGGCATGTTGACTGATGGCAAAATGACAAATCTGCTGATAGACCAGATGCTGCTCCGAAGATCATGAGCTGCAGTGATCGGGATTTGCAGTGCTCATTGCTTTTTGCTGATGCAGCACGTGCATGTCAACCAGAAAACAAACCAGCCAAAACAAGCAAGAACTCGCCGACCATCAATACTGCCACTTGTTGATCGCAACTCTCTTCTCTCAATTGCTCACTTACTCTCCCACAGTCAGCGCAGCTCAGGATGCAGATTAAGATGCTTTCATAGATCATACCATTGCCACAATAGTATCTGCTGGGAACTGCTGCGTCGATTGTGATCTTGCTCTGTAGAAGCGAGTACGCGAAGGCGAACTGCTTCACGATGACTCTGAAAGCATACTAATCATAACAGAAGTGAGGACAGACTAGCAGCATAGAAGCTATGGCTGCATTCATGCATTCTGATTCATCTGCATTGCCGTTATGCTCTACCTCGGTCGCGTCGCACCCAGATGGTCCTCACCACAATCTCATCGAGCCATGACTTGGTAGCTGGGCAGTCTAGACTTTTGTCGAAAGAAGATCCGAGGACGCGATGCGTCGAAGAGTGATAAGGTGTCTGTCATTATCTTGACAGATTCGCGTCGTGCGGGGTTGATAAGCTGCAGACACGATATCCCCGTGAAATCCGGCTTACGACCTTCTCTTTCTGGAGCGATCATCCTGATGGTCTTGACATTCAGGGTCTTTATCAGTGATATCAATCTCTACCAGTATCTTTACTTCCTGACTAACTTCAAAGAGAAGGTGCATTGCGCGCTGCCTGTCAGGTGATGCTGATTGATATCGACTGGCCAGCTGTCACTCAAAGCTGGCTATGACTTACAAGCGTGCTCACACGTGGCTCATTGCCCATTATCTATTAGAACTCACAGTCAAGCAACGATATCGGCTGCGTAGATTCAGCTATATGGGAGGCTTCGAGCTTTTGCAGGGATCGGATCCTCCGATAGCCTGATCAGATACTGATTGATACAGAAGCCCGCGGGGTTATCCATCTTCAAAGGGGTCAAACCACCCCAAGTCCTGTTGCTAAATACCCGCTAGTATATTAAGACCAAACCTGGGGGCCAATTAAAGCAATCAGGATGTGCAATCAGTCGGCCGAGCACATTACCTTTTCACATTCGGCAGGCGCCTGCACAAGCATATCATGGTTATCGAGGCGATAGCAGTTCAATCCTTGAGAGCCAGTGGGGTATAAGAAAGGTGCAGGGAAATGGCTTCACCTGTGAAGTACCTCATATTCTGCCAAAGTAATCTCGAGCCGCGTACAACCATTGAGGACCATCAGACGAGGAATATGGTTGAAACCATGACAGATTCTATATCAGGAAAAGATGACAAGGTGGTCGCCACAAGTGCAGTTGACACCGAATCGAAGGTCGACGGTCATGTATCCCTTGGCCAGGCCGATGCAGCATTGGAGTACCTTCATGCTGGCGAGGTGGCAACTTTCTCTGATATCGATGAGAAAAGGCTGGTTCGCAAGATCGACTGGATGGTTGTGCCCTTAATGTGGGCGATCTACTTTCTGCAATACCTAGACAAAATTCTAAGTCAGTGTGTCGCGACAGCGTGCTCTATTCGACCCAGAAGCTAAACGATTGCAGTCAATTATGCATCGGTCATGGGCCTTCTTGATGACACTGGCATGCGGACAGACCAATTCTCAAACCTCGCTTTGGCATTCTACGTATCATACCTCTTCTTTGAACTTCCAACTGGGTATTTCATGCAGCGTTTGCCAACTGCAAAGTACTTGGGAATGAATGGTAAGACACTCAATAATCCCATATTGGCGATGCTGACGAATAAGTGACCCTATGGGGCCTTTTGACAACTCTGAATTGTGTTGCGAAGAACTTTCCCGGACTTGTCGTTCTTCGAGTGCTCCTAGGATGTTTTGAAAGTGCTGTAGCACCTGCGTAAGACACCATCTGGCGTAGCAAGGACTTGCCTAACGAGATTAGATTGATTCTGATAACCTCCATGTGGTACAAGAGAAACGGTATGCAATAAACCCCGCTGATCAATTCATATTCACTAACCTAGTGAAGAACAACCTAAGCGCATCGGTTTCTGGTACCTGGGCACAGGTACCGCGACCATATTAGGCGCCCTCGTTGCATACGGGCTGCTTTTCTACGAAGGAGACAAGTTCTACTCCTGGCAGATCATGTTCTTGATCTTCGGGCTCATTACTATTGCAGTTGGGATCACGGTTATTGTTGTCTTCCCAGACAATCCTATGAAGTCCCGCCTCAGCCATGAAGAGAAGTTAATGGTAATTGAGCGTCTTCGCGAGAATCGGACGGGTATCGAGAACAAGCATTTCAAAAGGGAGCAATTCTTCGAGGCTTTCAAAGACCCTCAGACCTACCTGATCGCTATAATAGTTGCATCGGGGAACATTAGTAATGCAGCCATCAGCAGCTTCTCGGCCTTGATCATCAAGAATTTCGGATTTGATACCAAGGAGACTGAGCTACTCACGATCCCGGGCGGTGTCGTCAGCGTGATAAGCATCCTACTCGGTACGTACTTGGCAGGCCGCTTCGACCAGCGGTGTTTCTGCATCATTGGCATTCTATGCTCTGGACTCCTTGGAGGTTGTCTCATGGCATTCGCTCCGAGTGACAACAAAGGCGCCAAGTTGGCAGGAAACTACCTGACCAACTGCGTCGGCTCAGCACTTCCCTTGCTTTATTCTACCGTCGGCGCGAATGTCGCCGGTCATACCAAGAAAGTGACTATGAATGCAATCGTCCTGATGGCCTTCTGTCTGGGTAACATTCTAGGCCCGTTGTCGTTTCGCACTGAGGACGAGCCAGAGTACATGCCAGCCAAGGTCGCCATTGTGGCCACTGTCTCTGTTGCGATAGTGTTCACCGTGGCTCTCAAGTGCTACTACATCTGGGAGAACCGACGACGCGATAGAAAGTGTGCAGGGCTCCAACATGAAGAGAATTCCGAGTTTTTGGACCTTACAGACAAGGAGAACCTTGAGTTTAGAGTGAGCGCGTATCTTTTTGGTAAATTTAGCGGTACTAACATGGTCTACAGTATAAACACTGAGCTAAAAAGAAGATTAATGTCATGTCTATTATGATATATACAAATGAAATCAATATACTATATGCAAGCGCTCAACGATCATGCCACAAAAGTTTGAATCACAATCTCAGACGCGATCAAGCAGCAACCTTGATGGCCTTGAACTCTTCGCTGAAGTCATAATCAACGTAACCCTTGGGGTCCTTGGGCAAGTAGAAGACCTCTCTCTGGTAAGGGCGGAGAGGAACATTGTTCTGGATCATGAACGGCAGGTCGGGGTTCGCCGTCCAGGGGCGGCCAATTCCAACAAGGACCTCGTGGTCCTTGTACTGCACATCAACCGCCTCCTTTGCCGAATCAGCCTTGTAGCCACCGGCAACAACGAGAGGGCTAGCGTCGCGGTACGCCTTAACAAAGAAATCCAGAGAATCGTCCTCCGAAGCCAGCCTCTCAGCATTTCCGGCGATGCGTGGCTCGACAAGATGCACAAAGGCCAGCTTGAACTCGGCGGTCTTCTCAGCCAGGTGTGTGAACTGAGCAATGCGATCATCCATGCGCATACCCTGGAAAGTACTGAAAGGGCTGTAGCGGATAGCAGTGCGGTCCGCGCCAATAGCATCAGACACAGCACGGATAACCTCAAGAGCGAATCTGGAACGGTTCTCAACGCTTCCACCCCAGGCATCGGTACGCTTGTTAACGGTGTCCTGGATAAACTGATCAATAAAGTACCCGTTGGCACCGTGAATCTCGACACCGTCAAATCCAGCGGCAATGGCATTCTTCGCTGCCTGCGCATAGTCGGCAATGTACTGGTGGATCTCCGCCTCGGTCAATTCGCGAGGAACGGGGCCATCGTCGAGAGCAACAGGGCTACTAGACACGACGTCATAATTGCCGTTGGCCTTCAGGAATTGCGGGTTGGCGACGCGACCCAGGGCCCAGAGCTGCATGTAGATGTACGAGCCCTTCTTGTGAACGGCGTCGGTCACCTTGCGCCACTGCGCAATCTGCGCATCGTTCCAGATGCCGGGAACATTAGGGAATCCGCCAGCATTGGGTGCAATGATGGTGGCTTCGGTGATCAAGAGGGTTCCGGGGACAGCAGCACGCTGCTCGTAGTGCTGCGTCACAAGGTCAAGGGGGACGTGGTTGTCGTCGACCCGGAATCGGGTCATGGGAGCCATGGCGAGACGATGGGCCAGGGGCATGCGGCCGACCTGGATGGGGGAGAACAACTTGGTCATGATGATGCTGGTGATGGTCTATATGAACGACTGTTCTATATGAGAAAGGTTTGTATATTGATACAGAAGAGAAGAGAGGAATGAGGAGATGAAAGCTGTTACTTATATATCCCCAAAGACAGGGCCACACTGGCTCCATATTTATTCTGGAAACAACTACTAATCCCCTGTGGCACGCCATAACCATACAAGGGGTCAAAGGGGAAAGGGAAAAAAAAGAAGAAAAAAAAAATTAATGGAACCAGATGGAGAGAAGATCCACACCTTGGATTTATAATCAGGGAGACGATATGGGAATGTAGCGTAGCATCGCTGCGATTACATACAATTCGAGGGATTGAAACAAAGTCAAATCTACATTTAGTTAGGCAAAAATCCTTCGAGAATATATCCTAATCTATCATCAACGAGATTGAACTATTTCCCGGAGTTGACATTGACATTGATACAACGAAGGAAGAAGACCCTGCATGAACTTCTCTTTTTCTCTCCACGGATCCATCGGCACATTCTGATCCGAACCAAACACAAGAGCAACACACAGCATTATATTGATCATATGGACCCCTTTCTACGTATCTAGTTTTCAGACATACATACCGTATCGAAAACATAGAATCGTAGTATAGAAGATAGATAGAAACACCAACTACCCAAAAATCCCATCTATCAATTGCTAATCTACACATAAGCACTAACCAGACTCAGACTAAACATTACTAGACAAAAGAAACAATTCCTGCAGAATTTCTTCTCAGCCCCACATATGGTTGAATTTGCGGGTGGCGGCCACATGGATGGGCTTACGTTAGCTGACAAATGCAACAACCTAACTAACCTTACTTTGTAGCTACGTACTAAGTACTCTGCCGGATTTACGGGCGGAGACCGGTTGTTCCCTTCGCTCGGTCTTTGCTTAGGCCGAGGAGGGTGGAAATGATAAGTTATTTGCGGGTTGCTTAGTTATAGGTGTTTATCTTAGTTTGATTAATTTATTATCTTGTGGGGGTTTGAGGTGATGATGGTGATGACGATGAGGATGTAATTGTTGGTAAGTGGTGGTATCTACTAGTCTAGGTGATTGATTACTTTATTGTTTATTGTGCTGTAGTTTGTATGGTGGTGATGTATGGCTTAGTGAGATACGGAAAGCTGGATGTATCTATCCATCATCATTTGATCCCATTATCCTTATTCTGATTCATTCCTATCCAACTAGCAAAGAACATGACCCTCACTCCGTAGACAACAATGCCGGGGGTATTTATTCGAAACAAAACAGACACAGACACAGACACAGCTTTACAATCATCACACAAACGAACATATGAATAAAGAGGTTAGACAAGTACTCATATCGAGTTATCAATAAATCAACTCTCAAGTCTCCGCGCAGTAGCCTCGAGCTGTGCGTTGAATGACTTGATCTGATGTAACAGACCGCCTTGAGCTCCGGGGGCGATGGAGCTCACGTTCTCCGCAACGTTACGGACAAGGAACTCCAGTCCGGCTGTGGAGGAAGGTTCGGGGTTCTGGGAGGTAGATTCGTCGACGGGGCGATTGCGGCTGCGCTCGAGGGCGAGATCCAGACTGTGGAGGGAGTTGTTGATGGTTGAGCGGGCCTAGTGGAGAGTTTGTTAGCAATGCTTAGGGTATATCTGGTAATCTGCTTGCTTGCTTACCATTTTGGCATTCTCTTCCTCACTGTGCTTCCTCCGTACGGCGTCCATTTGCAATGCCACTTCTTCTCGTTCCTTCCGGACTCGGTATAGGCGGCTCCGTAGGTCCATCATTTCCCGTTTGGATTTCTTGATTTGGCGTCCGAGGACAAAGTTACTGTCGAGCATCTCGCTCAGTTCGAAAAGACGGCCCTCAAGTTCCGTGCCGTAGGCCTCGACGGCCTTCTTCTTGCGTGTCCATTCTGCACGCCGGGAGGCGTTGCCTTCATTGGCGATCCCGTTCTTGAGTGTTGCAAGCGTCTTTTCTAATGTCTCGCGGCAGATCTGGCTTAGTACGTCTGCTGCGTTGACGCCGCCTCGGCTCACAAGCTTGGCCTTCTCTTTCGCTGCGACTCCCTCGGCTGGCTCCTCTTCTTCGTCCGATGATCCCTCTGGTTCGGGTCCTTCTCCAAGTATAGCGGCGTTCACGAAGCGATGGACAGTTACTGGCACTGTTTCTCCCCGAGGCTGTCTGGGCTTGCGCTTCTTAGGTGGAGGTGCTTCTTCGGCGGGCTCCGCCGGCTCTGCTTGTGCTGTAGCTTCTTCATCCGGAGCCTGTGTTGTCTCAGCATTCTCCTTTGACGCCGGTTTACGGCCGCGAGCACGTTTGGCAGGCCTGGACGGTTCGGGTTCTGCTGGAGGCTCCGGCTGTGGTTCTTCTTCGGCCTCTGGTACAGGTTCCGGCTCGACTGCCTCAGCTTGCGCTGCATCGTTCTCTTTCCTTGACAGCGGTCTCCTGCCACGACCACGTTTGGCAGGCTTAGAAGATTCTGTTGGTTGGGCCGATTGTATTTCTGTTTCAGGTTCAGCCTGCTCGGTTTGTGCTGGTATCTCTTCGTTCGGAGCCTGTGTTTCATCAACTGTAGTCTCTGGCAATGGTTTCCTGCCGCGACCACGTCTGCCAGGCCTTGATGGTATGGGTTCTGTCGGTGCCTCCGGCTGTAGATCTGTTTCGGGTTCTGGGACGGCCTTGGACTTTGGCTCAGGCTCAGGCTCCTGCTCTTCCGGCTGCTGCGCCTCTTGCTCAGGCAGAGGCACTTCTTCCTGAATATCCTGTGATCGTGCCGGTTTTCTTCCGGGGCGTCCAGCGCGCGTCGGCTTCTTGTCCACCGTAGGTCTTGGCAGCCGTGATTGCCGACTTCCCTTGTTGGCCACAATATCGTCCTTTGGCTGGGATGAAATATTCACGCCAGTGTCATCGGCGGGTTCTTCTTCTATTGTAGGAATGTCGGGCGTAGGCTCCTGGCCCTTCGCGATACGTCCACGAAGCCTCTTTCGCTCCATACCCTGGGCCGGGGCGCTTTCTGCTGAGCCGGCTCTGGCCAGTCTAGACTGTTTGGCAGTTGTTGACTGCGGTTGAACGGATGCTGCACGTTGGCCTCTCGTTCGTTTGGCTCTTGGAGGTGTTGGAGACTTTGTCTGTGCTGTAGTAGCATGAGGCTCGGCCGCTTTCTCGATGCCGTTCGTCTCTTCGGGTTCGACAGCATCTTGAGACTCAGCTGCCTCTTGAGGTTCGGTAGCAATTGGAGATCTGGTGGCTTCAGCCTCGCTAACAATGTGTTGTTGTGTGGTATCGCTTGCAGTGGTAGTCTGCTCTTCGCTGGGTATTTGCGCTGCGGGTATCTGCGCTTCACTAGTAGCCTGAGGCTCGGTGTTATCCTGTGCAGTGTCATCTTTGCTTCCGGTAGCCTCAGGCGCAGTAGGTTTTGGTGACGCTGTGACTGGTGGTTTCCCATTCGGTGATATATCCATTGCTTCTGATACCTGCGAATCTCCTACATTTGTTACCTTGGGGCTCACGGCGTTTTGCGGAGAGCCCCGCGGAGAGCGACGCGGGGAACGGCGCGAAGAAGCTTCACTATCCTGAGATGTACGTCTCTTGCGCTTGTCTCTTGTTTTCTCGCCTGGCGGAGAAGACGTCGCTTTCGCTTGGGGTTCTTGTTGAGATTCCGGCGGCGGTTCCGTGGCATGGTCAGGTCCTACAGGCTCTGCTGACTGCGGTGGTTGTATTTGTGCGGGATCCTCCTGTACAACAGGTGTAGTAGACGGTACCCCTTGAGGATGTTGTGTGCCATTGGTAATAGGTGGACTCGTCGGTTTGGGAGGCGACTGGGTAGCAGCAATTGATTCGACGCCATTGTTGAGTGGCTGCGAACTCTCTTCAGTCCGCGCGCTGAATGATATTGTCGAAGATCTTCTAGGATGATCTTTGGCCTATTAGCATCCTGTAGCACATCATATTATCTAATTACACACCAAGTTTCCTAATCTTGCGACTAGGACCGACTTCCGGCGGATCTTCCGTAGGTAGATCGTAAGGCGACGGACGCGGCGGGAGTTTGTTGCGCGCGCTTCCTGGTGTTCGGCGAATATGCCCCTCTTGCGATGACAGCTTTCTCTCCGGCGATATATGGGAAGGTTGTGTAATCTCCGGTTCCGTTGCTAATACCGGCGCCGTCGCGTTTACAGCGGTATCTGTTGTCGAGGCCGGTGGTGGTGCAGGAGGGAACAGCGAAATACCGACATTGTCCGGTCGCGACGTGGATTGAGACGGTTCATCGGAGGCAGTGGGCAGGCCAAAGGAAAACCCAAAGTCTATCGCCTTGGTCTTACGTGACCTATTAGACAGTCACAGCGTTAGCAAAATCGGGGTCTGGGCGATTTCGTCGCGGGGTTCGGATGGTGATGCGCGTACGCTGCTCCGCGCTGCCGCATTTGCAGCCGCTCCTCTCGATCTGGATAGTCGGAATACAATTAGCATTGGCGCAAGCACGGAGGTTTGATGGAAACATACTGGAAGCCATGGTTGAGAGGCGGCGCTCCTGGCGAGCTTAACGCGCCAAACCTCACGCGAAGGGGAAGATAATGGAGGGAGAATATGACGGGCGATGGTGGATGGATGGAGAGGAGCTGTGATGATGGAGCGATGCCGCCCGCCGGGATGGCCAATGGTGGGTTGGCGATGCTCCCGCCATGTGGGTGCCCGTGAACAACCGCAGTCTATGTTTACATTTTATTTCTTTTGGGAAGAAGTTGTTTAAAGCTTATCGTCATATGTCCTGGGTACGAACAAGCGATACATACAGATATATTTCACGGACATAGATCTCCCCTATTTCCAGGAAAACATTGTGATACGATGGCTCTTTTGCTCGAGACTACTTGATCAGTAAGTACACTGAGTTAGCAGACTAGTAAATCTGACGGACTTGTGGTTATACACCCGACAACACATATTATGAAAAAAAAAAAAAAAAAAAAAAAAAAAAAAAAAATGAATGTGTGATTTGAGATGGATTTATGCAACTTTGACCCTTGTCGCTGTCAACTGCGTTTCTGTGGCAAGTATCATGAAGTCAAGTTCTGACACTGGTTTCTTTCACATTCAACAAGCTGTAAGTTATATATAAATGTCGGGTAACAGTTGATTCGCCAAAGTACAGATCTCGAAATGCTCCAGTATCATGGATGGAACCAACAGTTATTCACAGCCAGTAGTATTGTCATGAAAAGATGACTTAAAAATACTATTAACACCAGATGGCATTTTCGTCTCCTTCTCAAAGTTTGACTCTCTTTTTCATACCATCATGTCTACTGTATACTGTCGAAAGCATTCGCCAAGACGCGATATATGATAGATAGATCAAGGTATTGGCAATGCCTCGGGTTCGAACCCCGGCTCGATCTTTGGCCTTTTCCTCTCTGGGCTGCACTTTAGACCAAAGCGGTATGGCGGTCGGTCAAGTGCCTTTGCAGTCGATCGGTCTCCGCATGCTCCAGCCAGTTCTTCTTCATATGTTCCTCAATACTACTCGCACCCTTTAACCGCGCATTCTGCCTATCAATTGGACAATTACTCTTCCGAAAAAGAACCCTTTGCTGCACTCACACCATGGGCTGGTTTTGGGGTGGCTCAAACAAGGACGACCCGGTCAAAAAGCTTGACCCGGGTTTGCGAGAATACCTCGAGCATGAAGCTCCAGAGAAATACGTTCCAACCACCTCAGTCCCCTCGTCGCAGGACCCCTCCAAGACGGTGCCCCAAGATACGAAGCCAGCTGTCAGCGCCGAACCTTCCGAACCCGCCCTTCCCTCCGCTTCTCTATTCCAAGATGGCCGTTACGCGCATCTCTGGAAGACCTACAAGCCGCCCCAGGAAAAGGAAGCGACGGAACAGAAGACTGCAGAGCGAGTGATTGAGAAGTACAAGCAGCGCGGTGATACCGTGCACCGGGCAGCGATGGAAAACTGCGCCCTGGAGCATGAGGACTTGACCTACTGCTTCCAGACTGGCAATTGGGAGAAACGATTGCGCGCCCGTGTGACTCTGTGCTCTGAGGAGAACGCTAAGTTCTCTCGTTGTTTTACCACGCAGGCTGTAAGTGCAGGCGCAGTTAAACCGGCTCTTTTCTTTTCCTGCGACGTCTGAGCCGTTGTCGGTCGGTATATGCTGACAATCATCCAGAAATTCCTCCAGGCCCTAGGATACGCTTCCTCCTTCAACTGGGACGAGGAAAGGGAAGAACGGATTCAGATGCACGCCGATAAACTCTACCATCAGATGCTTGACTACGAGAAACGGGTCGAAGAAGCGCAGAAAGCCGGACAGGAGGCCCCACCTCTCACCTCTCTTTTCAACCCCAAGGCAGAGGCACCGCAGACACCGGCCAACACACCAGGAGCCCTGGAGATTCCTGGAGGTGAGACGATTCCGGCAGGATTGAAACCGTCCAAACCGTTGGCACAGCTTACTCCACATGAACGAGAATTGGAGATCCGAGCACACAATGCGCAACTGGAGCAACAGAAATTGTACGTACAGGAGGCATCGCCTTTTATGCAGACACACGAGGACGCACGGCAAAAGCGCAGAGAGAAGGCCGTCAGTTGGTTCGGCGAGACGATTGGCCGTTGGGTTACATAAAGCATAGGCGTGGTGCTTCCATTATGGACTGGATCTTTCTCTTCTCTTGTGTATGATTACCCCATTTGTCACCCCCTCCAGTAGGAGTTATGATTTAGAAGCGAGTCTGCGACAATCGACGTTGTTACGCATGGACATGCAGGGCCACGGATTTCCAGGGTGCTTTTTTACCCTTCCAATAGGAATGCAAGGAAAAGCCAATGAAAGTGAATAAACCTAAAGTAAACGCAGGAGAGCGATCCCTCAGGTACCATCGCTGGGGATAGATATACTTGCTTGCTTATACACCTTTTGAGCTAGGAGGGATTGATCTGCAACAAACCATGAGCAGAATCATATATCTAGTTCACGTAGAAAAGCGACCGTTTGGTATGTTCAAGACATGCATAAAGACAGGAGACAAACCTCTGTACCAAAAATGTAGAACATTGTAACCACGGGAAGTAGTTGAAATGCTGATCGATTGCATCTCCAGGAAAGATGCTGACGGTCAGGGCGGCTGTCATTCGCCGGGCGCGTTGAACGCCAGAGCGACACGAGGAAGCGAAACCAACACGGGAAGCATCGACATCACCACTACGACCCTTTGGCTCTCTGTCGCTGGGCCCTCTTTTTTTCCTCTTCCCATTCAACTTTCCTCAATACAACTTGGTGACTACTCACTCCCTGGCTACCTTCACCGGATCTATCCCTTTCTTCTGCCTCCCCACTGGAATCCTCCGTCCCTCCACTGGTTGTGCTCCGCGGCACCTGATTAATTGCTTGATCGATTGATTGATTCCTCTCGTTGCTCCAAAGCAATAAATTAACCTTCTCTACGAACGGCTCCCTCCTCCGATCATTACCCATTCTCGCTCTCTCTTGCTGTGGCGATCTCACACCCTTTTCATTGCCAACATTCAATATTATCAAGCTCTTCCCCTGCACGCAAGAAGAGCTGTAGTCTTCTCCGTTACTCCCCAGGGGCCCTCATTGAGCTGCCGTGCTCACCATGAAGGCCACCCCGTTGCTCATCTCGTGGCACAACGACAATGCCCCCATCTACTCGGTCCATTTCGACCCCAATGGCAAAGGTCGTCTGGCCACGGCTGGCAAGTATGCTATTCCACTCTTTGTGTTAATTCGAGTCCTGGGTCTATGGTGCTAACGCTTCTCCTCCCTAGTGATAACAACGTCCGAGTACGAAACCCCCTCACCAGACCTCCTCCCCCTCATTACTCCTCCTCTCGGCCTTTTCTCTGACAAACACACAACCATAGCTATGGAAAGTGGAGACAACTGGCGAAGAACGAAAAGTGACCTACCTGAGCACACTGATTAAACACACCCAAGCCGTCAATGTGGTCCGTTTCAGTCCTAAAGGTAGATATCTCCTCGACCCGTATACCCGATCTTGTCTCTGACTGTTCGTCTTTGTCAATGTTTCAGGCGAGATGCTGGCATCTGCCGGAGATGATGGCAATGTGTTACTCTGGGTCCCATCGGAATTGCAAACACAATCGGGCCTGGGTGAAGATCGTTCGGACGACAAGGAAACATGGCGCGTAAAGCACATGTGTCGATCTTCTGGTGCAGAGATCTATGATCTCGCCTGGTCACCGGATGGCGTGTTCATCATCACAGGGAGCATGGACAATATTGCTCGGATCTATAATGCTCAGACAGGTGAGCTTCCTCTCTCAGAATCTCTCGAGGAGTACCTTTAGCTGACGACGAAAAACCTAGGTCAAATGGTACGCCAGATTGCTGAGCACTCTCATTATGTCCAAGGTGTAGCTTGGGATCCTCTGAATGAGTTCGTGGCGACACAGTCGTCAGATCGCTCTGTCCATATCTACAGCTTGAAAACAAAGGACGGTCAATTCACCCTCACCTCCCATGGGAAATTCCTCAAGATGGATCTCCCTGCCAAACGCATCTCCTCCAGTAGCCCAGCCCCGCCAGATCCTTCTATTCGCTCCCAACCCGCAGCACCGAGCTCCGCTGCTGCTGCTATTGTGTCCCCTGCCCCTTCTACCCCGGGCACACCGATGACCTCAAATCTGCCTATGGACCCTCCACCGGTGTCTCACAGCCGACGCTCATCCTTCGGCTCATCTCCCTCGATCCGTCGATCGGCATCCCCAGCGCCATCCTTGCCATTGCCTGCAGTCAAGCCACTGGAAGTACCCTCGCCAGGTCTGCTGGGTGGACTTGGCGTGAAGAATGCCAATATATATGCGAATGAAACCTTCACCTCATTCTTCCGGAGGCTGACATTTGCCCCCGATGGTAGCTTGCTATTCACGCCCGCAGGCCAATACAAAACTTCGCATGTGTCTGCTACGGATCCGACCAAGACGACAGATGAGATCACCAACACTGTCTACATCTACACTCGTGCAGGCTTCAACAAGCCTCCCATCTCCCATCTTCCAGGCCACAAGAAGCCCTCTGTGGCAGTGAAATGCTCCCCCGTGTTTTACACGCTTCGGCAGGGTCCCCAGCCTGCGAAGCATATCACATTAGATACCTCGTCAACGGAGGAATCTTTCTCTTCTCTTCCCGAGCCGGTAGTAAGCTCTACAGGGGACAATGCTTCCATGGAACCCCCAACGTCGGCGCCAAACGACCAAGCGAAGAATAACTCGACTCCCAAGGCCACGGATCGAGCAGTAAGCCAGAGTCCTGCACCTGTATTCACGTTACCTTACCGGATCGTGTATGCTGTGGCGACCCAGGATGGGGTCATGGTATATGATACCCAGCAACAGACACCGATTTGTGTCGTTAGCAATTTGCACTTTGCCACATTCACCGACTTGACATGGTAAGTTCAGTATCAGAAACAGGATCACTTACCGGTGTACTAAGTGCTCTCCAGGTCAAACGACGGATTGACTTTGATGATGAGTTCATCAGACGGGTTCTGTTCGACCCTCGCGTTTTCCCCGGGTGAATTGGGCCAACCATACGTTGCTCCGGCATCAGCGGCTCAACAGGCAGGAGCTGCCGTTTCATCCGCCAATAACACGCCTCTCCCCACGCCCGTCACTGCCAAACCAAGCTCAGCGGTTCAAGCGAATTCGACCCAGGCACCTCCCGCAAGTCCGGCACGGTCCAACTCTGTCTCTTCGGTTACGACACAGTCTGGTAGCTCGAGGCTCATCAATAACCCGACGCCCACGCTGGGATCTGTGCCGCTGGTGACAGCAACCCATTCAGCCCAGCCTCCGACACTTCCGCTCACTACCCCGCCGCAGACCCCCATGTCCGCGGCCTCCCAAAGTGGGACAAACTATGTCAGCAACAGTGTTCTAGGCAAACGAGCCGGTGAATCTGAGAAGGAGGACGACAAAGATCAGAGCGCCGCTCCGCAGGCACAACAGCAGAGTCAGCAACAGCCGAAGAAGAGACGGGTTGCACCGACCCTGATATCAGCCGGCACCAATCCGTCTGCTACATTGCGTGACGAGCCACCCAATGCTGACGTGGGCGGTTAAATCTCGCCTGACAAAGACATACCTTATCTGGTCGTCCAAGTGTAACTATTATCTGCTATTCCTCATCGCTCCCCCCACCTCTTCTTTTTTATCCGTGTAATGTCAAACGCGGGCCCGGATGATCTGGTTGCTACGATTATTATCATTATTATTCCCTTGCTGATGATTTACGTCCCCTTTCATTTCCGTCTTTTTAACTTTGCTTTTTCCTTCATCCCGATGGGTCTCGGTTCCTTCCTGGAAATCCCGGTAGAGTTTACCCACGCGTTCCGGTCATGCATGCATGCATTCATTTCTCCCTCTATTTCTTCTGGCGCATTCACTGTAACCTTGCAACCCCATCCCCTCATCCGTCTTATTCTCACCTTTACTACTTTTTGGCTCAACTCACGTGGGGAGGGGCTCGGATTACTCCATGTATTTACTCATTTCGCTTTTTTTTCCCCATAGCCACAACCCTTGTCTACTTTGGTGTTTTTCATGGTTACTGTTTACTTTTTTCATAGTCGCGAGTACCCCCCTTTCCCCCCTTTGATTCTGTTTTTCTCCAGGGGTTTCATCTTATCTTGCAAAGGCAGTGGTTGCATTGTTCATTGACTGACTATTGACTCTGGCCATGGCTGCGCTGCGGGGGGAGGTAAGATCCATAGGTAACTAACTGACTGATTAGTTAGTAGGTAAGGTAGGAAACTCGTCTGGTTGTTTTTGGAATAGATCATCATCAATCAATCAATACAACCATCAATCAGATCTAGTGTTCCTTCTATCTTGATTACTATCTTATCAGTTGTGTAACGATGTTTGTAGTACAGAGGAAGGAACTATTTTACGGTATTGAATATCAAATATCCATTCTTAAAGTACACTAAGAATATATTGGTAAGGGAAGGATGGTATAATATAATTATCGTGTATCGAGGTAGGGGTTTTCCTTCCGATGGACACATTATGGATCATTCGCCGTGACACGTTATATCATACTTAGGAAAGAGGTAGCTAGACATGTGAGAAGAAGAGAAGATAAGGGCAGAGGGAAAGAAGAGAGATAACAGTAGAATGGAATGAGGGGTCAGAGGATGGATGGATGGATGCTACATGTTCACTTGGGAAGGAATGGAGTAAGGATGGAGTAATGAAAGAATGGAGGGAGGGGTGAAAGGGCGAGAGGGTCAGTCATGGCTTTCTCCATTGACGCCATTTACTTCGGGGTGGTGACCATTTGCAAGCCCGTTAGTAACCTCAGCGGAGTGCTCGTTGGTGTGTCCGTTAGACATTCCGTTTGTCATCGGCTGAGAAGTAAAAGCGTCTACAATATCGGCCATGCTCATGTCACCGGGAGGCACGGCTTTGGCCTCCGTGGCGTGAGAGCCCACGGTCAGGGTGGTCACGCTGGGGATCATCTGTTCAGCATGCAGGCGATTAGCCCAGCGGAAAAGGGCTTCGTCGCCGCGCGCACCTCCGGCGACGAACACGAAATCCGGCGTGCGGGGTAACTGCCGCAGGACGGATTCGGCTGCTTTGGCCTTGGACACGTCCAGAGGCTCGACACTCACTGCGCCCTGGCTGAGGACCACGCGGATGGCTTCGCTTCCCCGTGTGCCGTTGATCTGATCTGCTAGGCTCGAGGCCTGGCGCCCGGCGATCTCCGGATCATGCGCATGCTCGTAGCAGAAGTTCATGAGACAACGACGCTCTTCCATCTCACTTCCTTCAGTTC